TATAAAATCCAAACTTAGTGGTGTAAAAAAAGGGGAATTAGGATTATTATTCTTTAAACTGATAGGATGACTAATTAGAAAGAAGCATTCTTGACTGGGCTAATGTAGGCTGTGACACCTGGCAAGGCTGTGATGATGTGAAGAGAAGATAAGGATTGTGTCTTCAAATACAAGACTATAATGGTCATTGTGATCTATGAGTCTTCCTTTGACATGGGAATGATGTCTAAGGGAGCTGGCTCTTCTCACTATGACAGGTTGTTATGATAATCTTGTGTCTGCCTGGAGTGGGGTAACAAATGGCGCCGAGGAGATGAGAGCAACCACTGCATCAACGGATTGGCTGAGATAGTGTAAACACGCTCAAGTCTTTACTCTAATGGCCAGCAGAGAAGTGGGAAACTTCTGTCAGAGTATTTGGGTATTGTTTCTGAAAGCAATGTGTTAGTTCTCTGGAATGTCCTGCGAGGCATATCAGAGAGCCCGTATATACGAAACATCATATTTACCATTGAAGGTTTTTGCATTAATTAAAATAACTAGTATACCTTAGAAGTAGTGTGACCTCTTTGTTCTGATACCAGATTTGAATTGACGCGACATTGACAGTTCTCGATATCTTCATCAAATGTTTACATAGCCACTTAAAAATGTGTTTTCATTATTAGACTATGCACCACCATAACAGAAGTTGAATTTAAATGAATTGGTTTTCATAAAGTTTAAGCTCATTTTTCAACCTTAAGATGAAGACAAATGCAGTTTTTTACAGTAGGATATAGCTCATAGAGCCACTGTGCGAAGGAAATTCCCATTGCGATATTATCAACTTAACTGACTTTCAAAGTGGAACAGAACTGACCAAAAGTATAACTACGTTTCTTACCTCCAAGAGCATATTGCGTCATTTCCTGATATTTTTTTTATATCCCACCGGCATCAACGTGAACGCGGTTTGTGAGTGAGATCCATTCCTGCTTTATCCTGCACGCGCACTGGGAATTTCCTTCGCACAGTGGCTCTATGCATTGACGTGACAGCCGGCTCCCTTTAAGCCAATCAAAGGGTCGGTGACTAGGCTTGTATTCCTTATCTATTCGTGGGAGTCCGTGGGAGGATATGCTGGACTAAAAATTAAACCATTGCGGCTAATTAGCATCGTATATCTTATATGACCTAATAAAAAAAGTAGCTTTATCCAAATGAAGTCAGATAAAGTTATTAATTAAGAAAAATCTGACATTTTAAGACATCAAATCAATAATCTTTAAATAGTGTAGCCTAATTAGAGAATACACATAAGCACACACACACACGCTCTCTGTGTATGACTCACAGTGAAAGACCAAAGATTGCGCCAAGAAAGCTCTTTCCACAGATCTCACTTATCCTTTATTAAATGGTACAGGCATTTTGCCCACATAGTACCCATTACTTAGAGATTGCCATGTCCCATTATCTGCAACTACCTCTCCCACGCTCTGTCCTGTGTCAACCTCCCCCCCCTTTCCATCTCAAATTCGACATGGACAAAACCCCACAACACACCAAAACACACGCAGTATGACCCCCTTTCTAATTCATCCCCCCCTTGTATGGGAAAAAGGAAATCTATTTAGAGTAGGCAGGCTTTTCGCTTGGGCCCAAAAAAATGCACCCTTTTTCCTTTTTTTTAAAGGCGCTTCCGGATTTTAGATGTGGATGAGAAATTTCATTGAAAATGTCTTTTTGTTTGTGCGCCCGTGGTGTGCAGGCTTGCGGGGTTGTGGGTCCTTCATCTCTTATTTCCCATATAAGAAGAGCAAATCCAAGGGTTTATCAGTATTCACTTAAAGAACCCCAATCATGTCATCTTCATATGCTACCACTGTCCAGCCTTCTAGAGTGGGGGCCCCAAGAAACCCTACTGAGGGTTGTTATAATTTAAAAAGAAGTTTGCTTAAAAACCCTAAAAACCACTTCATACTTTTGAAAACCTTTATGGGATGAATAGGTAAATTTTTTTCCCTTATCTCTAAGGATCTACATTGAAAGAAGGCAAACCCGGCCTGCTGATGGCATCACACATCATATAGGTGAGATTTTAGAGTTAGATTGTTTTTAAAAAAGGGGTTTTTGTTTTTTTTTGCTTGGTATAATCCTTTGAATATTATCACGGCCTATAGAAAAAACTTTTAAACAGTATAGATCAACAGAACAACACTGCCTTTTTTTTTTATTTTTTTTTTTCTTCTTTTTTTTTTTTTTTTTTTTTTGGGGGGGGGGGGGAAGGGGATCAGCTTAAATTGCAGATAGTTTGGGATTTCTATCAATGAAAATTTTTCTGCACCTTCCAACCCCCCATGTTTTTTTATTTTAAACCCCCCTTTATTACTTTCAACCCCACCACCCTTTTCCCTACTTGGAGAAATTAGTGAAAAACAATGCCCACCCTTACTTCCGGTTTTATCCTTACTATCAAAAACTTATGGAAAGGGGTTAATTTTACAAAAATTTCTATATAATTTTTTTATTTATTTTTTTTTTTAGGGCCCTGAACTTTTTTAAACTTAAAATCCCCGATATTTTCATGATGTCCCCCGGGTTTTGCTTCATATGCCATATCTTTCTAACTGGCTCTTTCCCAAAAGCCCCCAAACATACAACCTTTTAAAATTTATTATGGACACGTAGTTACATTATTAGCTTCTTTTTTATTTTTTGTTGTTTTTTGTTATAGTCCCACCCTTTAAACCTATTCAATACCTCCCATCTATCTTTTAAAACACCATCCTATAGGTTTTCTATTTGCCATATATTTTAAACCGTACTGTGATGTTTTACAAAAAGTTCTAAACCTTTTCCTTTTCTCATGCTTATACAGAGGGTAAATTAAAAAATTAAATTTTTGCAAAAAGGTATTTTTAAATGTTTGGGAATTGCTATGACTTTTCGGGATCACCCCAGAAATGCTATCGGGCAAGGTTAGTTAGGAAATATTGCAATCCTTTACCCCTTCGGGCCCTGTGTCAAAAAAAAAGTACAAATGGACAAAACCCAAAAACCCAAAATGATCTAATGATTTTTGGGCTTTTTCACAGAAAAAACTGCAGAGCTGGGAAGTTGTACCCCCCATATAAATAACATTCTTTGGTGAAAGAATTTTATATAAAAAATTTTAAATTTAAAGTTTCCCAAATTTTGAACCCGGGGTTTTCGTTTTGATGTCAGTTCAAAAAAACCTATGCCATGGGGATGGGTACTTTCAAAGATTTTTCCCCCAAAATATTTGCAATTAATGGGAGGGCCCGCCCAACCCTTTGGTCCTTAAGTGAAACTGATATACTTTTTTTTTTATCCCAGTTTTTTTAAAACCAAATTATGTTCTTTAAGGAAAGGGGCCGACAGACAATTTCCCTTAAATTTCCCCCCCTTCCACTTTCCTCTTCCACTTTTGGGGTAGGCTGAATTTTTTGGTTGTTTTTTTGGGGGTTTT